TGGATGCATGAATCAGTTAACAAATAATAGTTCGGAGTTCGGAACGCCAATGTTAATGCACCAGATTGGCAGGATAAGATTCGAAAATTACTTACCATTGTCAAACATCCTAATAAAACAAATAAAAGAAAAGTGGGTAAATAAAGAAGAAGAAATTAAGAATGCCATTTATGGAAGGCAGCAACACACAAGATGAAGCCAAAAATTGGTACAAGCGTTTCGCTTGGTCACCACTGGTCCCAACAACAACTACGTACTGTCTCTACGTGAAGTCCTTTTAACCTGTATGAATGAGACTACACACATCTATATTAGATTGTCAATTCAATGTATGCGTTCTTTTTCTTCTTTCTTTCTTTTTTTTAGGGGGGACACTGTTGTGACAGCGGCTGGCTCCCTCAGCCCTACATTGAAATTAATATGGCCCAGCCCTGGCTTTCCCAACCTGAAGAGCAAAATAATTGGATCCAGATAATAAAGCTTAAAGGTTATTAGGTTTAACAATATATTAAGACTTTTCATTTCTCTAAACAAAAATGGATCCTATATAATTAGTGTAGCCAACTCATAGTCTATGAATTAATTATTTTACTTTTAATTTGGTGCCTTGTTGGCAATTCCCATGTTATATGTGATTTGATTATTCAGATTTGAAATATTGATTGAATAATTTTTTTTATAGGACTACAATATCTGAATATTAGATGGCGTGATCCGGTGGATTATATAGTCTAGGTTAAGTTGAGTTTCAAAAATTCAATTTTTTTATTTATGTTAAAAACATTTCTACGTGTTTGGTAGTTAATTAAATGACTGTTATCACCATTTGCAAAAATTATGACAATGAATATTAATAAAACATTGAAACTGAAAGCAAAATGTTGAAATTAACAATCAATGTTAAAATTAATGTTATTGTTAATTATAATAATTTGTCTCAAATCATTTTAATTGTTTGAACATTAAATAAAAAAAATCAAAATCAATATATTGACATTTTTAAAATAAATTAATATTTTCCAAAATAATTGAAATAATAAAAAGATAATAAAAGAATAATTTATTATTATGTTGTTTAATATGTTAAAAAGAGAAGAGAGTAAATCAATGAAGATCAAGTAAGTAATAAAAACTCATATACTTCAGGTTGACATTTTCATTATTTAGATGTTAAAGAATTATTACCATGTTAGTAACAACAACAAAAATGAATTATTATCCTATTTAATATTATTTATAACTATTTTTATTTTTAAGTTTTTTATATACACATTTTAAAATTACTCTCTTTACCGAAAAAGATAATTATAAAAGTTGGTTCACTTTAATACTAAAGGTATTTTTTTGACGGTTAGATGTCTCATGATTGAACCGTTTGACCATTATGTGCCCATATCACAGTACTAACTATTAATATGCTAAATTTGTTATTTTTTTGGACTATAATTACTATTACAATAAAGAATTATGCTTGAGATGAAAACATTTATAGCATAATAATATTTTTTTACCAAAATTATATATATAAAGGGGGGAGGGTTTCAATCTACGCACACACATACATACAAATATAAAACATTAACCAAATATTTATATTAAATCAAAGATGTTTTTAAAAATTAGTTTAAGACAAAATTATAAATTATTAGTTATTTGGAAATAATTGTGTAAAAAAAATTCGTAAGAGATATCCTTCGTAACTTATTATAAACTTTTTATATAAAGTTAATAGGCCACTCATCTTCTGAAAATGAGCTTCTGATATTAATTAATTTAAAAAATTATATTATCTTATAATTCGTTGTTAACCGATACTTAATGTTCTGTCTGTCGGTGTATTAAATTTTCATTATTATACAATATCGATATTTTTTTCTCTTAGTGTAATTATATTTTTAATGTTATTTATATGGTTAAAATTGTTCTTTCATCTTATTGATTGAACGACTGGTTAATTACTTGGAGATTATGCTAATGATAGTTTATTATTACGTATCTAAGCAACAATTGTAAAGTAATATATATAAACTTTCACTGCCAAGGTGATATATGGGTCAGAGAAATACATTTCTTTTTTCTTACAGGAGAAATTTGGCTAATTAGGAGAGGAGGGTTTAAAATTGTAAAACACATTGGAAGGAGGGGACAAGGTGGGTCACGTTAGGAGTTGTGACGAAGACTTCAGAAATTGAAGAAGGCTTTACTTTTTGGTTTTTAATTTGTATGATAAATATTGGTATAAGTCATTATGATTATAATTAATTATGCTTTTAAGTGGGAGATTACAAGCCTACAAAAAGCTCTCACTCTCACTCTCTCGGAGTTAGTAAGATTCGCAGAGATCTCTCTCAAAGCTAGAACTCCAATATAGAAATATAGATTTCAACGTCAATCACGCAAACATCATAGACAATAATTCATCATCATCAACACGTAATGGTGGACCCAAACCCTAAGTTTTGCAAACACACACCTGAACGTTACTATATTCAATTCAATATCCTCCATGTCACAACATTAAAACGCCCCTTCAGACAAGCCAACTAGCTAGCAAGTGTACAAATAAGTAAAGGTGTCCATTTTGTTTTCACGTATAGGTTTATACCTAAAGCTACCTCTCCTTCTCTATCTCAAAACTTAGTATGATCGATCCAAAGCTCCTAAGATTATTCTTGTTGCTTTGACTTTATTCACGAAATTGCCATCATGGCAATTGATGGCATGTGTGTGAAGAATTTGGAATATAATGTGAAACAAGCGTATCAAACATGAGATATATAGGGAGTGAATATGATGTTGACACGTCGGTCATGCAGTAGTGATTAGTGGGACGGTGTTAGATCTGAGCGCCAAATATGGTCTAGTTTAGGATCTTGGATGCTATCATACTATGAAAGTTCTTCTCTCTCTCTCTCTCTCTCTCTTGTAGGTCCTCTTCCACTTTTTCTAGAGAGAGATAGTGTGCGTTGGTGGTGGGTGAAGGTGTCGGCTTTTAGATTGAGCCAAAGCATAATTATGTAAGAAAATACTGCTAAAATTACATATTGATTGATATGGTTTCATCAACTTATATTTTATTTTCAAATGAATATTGTAAATTGTATTCAATAATTTGTTCTTTTTTTATTTAACAAGACTTATATAAAATTTATTCAATAATAAAATACATTTAATAAAAATGAATGTATACTAAATAAAAGTATTGTTAATACTTCTCATTCATTAATAAAAGATAGATTTTGGTGAGACTGAGAGAGAAGCTAAAAATGGAAAGAAATAAAATAGACGAAATGAGGTATGGAAGCGTTCAATGTCTAATTTTGGGACATGCAATTGCAATTGCTTTCAGAATTCTTTGTATCAGCTGCAGGGTTAGTTGGACTCAGCAGAAGCCAGGGTGGGAGGATAGAGACATGGGCTTCACGGTGGTTCATTGGGTTTCGTTCCTTCGTCAATTATACGTTTTAAATAAAAGAATATTATACTACAAAGATATCCAATAAACAAAAGTTTCGATTTCAAATGCAACATTATATCTGTTCTGTGAGTTGATGTTTGATCAAGTGTTAATTATCTTGAAAAAAATCCTGGAGAAAAGGGCCGCATGAGCACTATGGAGAGATCAATGTGTACGTGTCATAAATGAATTCGGTATGGAATGAGCTGAAGTTTGAATTGAGTTGGATTTCAATTGATTAAGCAAGCTGGTAAGCTTCCGATTGGCCATCTTACGCAACGTTCAAATGTATGAATTTAAGAACGAAACAATGACCACACAAAAACATCCATCTTACTTAACTTGTTGAAATATTCTTAGGCAAGGCTTAAGAGACACTAAAGTCAACATTAAACATGTATAAATATGTAGATATATTTTCATCATAATACAAATAATCTCAGAAAATCTTAATATTAAATAGAATTAATACTTATAGTAAGGGAGCAGAACTTAAATATCTCCAACCCTAATACGCAGAAGAGACTCCAATGACTCTCTCTCTCTCTCTCTCTCTCTCTCTCTCTATACTTATGAGTTAGACATTCAAATTATTAGAGAGTCCGTGATGGGTTGGGATAACAAACGAAGGGATGGGTCCAACTGACTAATAAACTTTGAATGAGTTAGTCTGCCAATGTAGTGCCTTTAATTTGATGTTGTTATATATAAAAAGAATTACCAAATGCAAGTTGATTGGTGGAGAGTACGAGTTGCCCTTCAAACTAGTTACCCTTTATATATATATATGTTTTGGGGAGTCATACCTAATGCACATAATTTATGTTATATAGTGCCCCGTACATACTACACGAGGGTGAAGTGTGTGAGGCTGAAAAGAGAATGATATATGGCCCCGATCCAAAGCCAATCATTTTATACGAGACTTTGAACCCGTGCCATACTCCCATCACATGCATCGCATTCTCAATCCTCGTCCTGATTCCATTTCCCTCCGATTTTTTGCATAAAAGAAAACTGGGTGTCTTGTTTCTTTCATCCCAAACTGTTCACCAGTCAAATAATTGATTAAAAGCGAGATGAAGAAGGCCACCTTCGTAATTTGAACAAACAAGAGTAAAAAGGCAAATGGAGATAAAAACTGTGTCAAGAGACAAATTCCAACCCTTTGGGTCCCTTCCCTGTGGGTCTTCTTGGGTCGTGTTCCCATATTTTCACACACTTTCTTCTCCTTGGGACATCCGCAAGGACCCCACTTTTCTCTCCCTTTATTTCTAAATTTCTACACAAAATTTGCTTTTTGTCAAAACCCATTTAATCCCGGGTATAAATACACCCCCAACACATGCAACAACTCCTTAATACAAACACATTAACTACCCCTACCCCTTCCTTTTCCTTCTCTTTCCACACTTTCCCTACCCCTTCAATTCAAACTCAAACAACACCCATGGACACCCAACTTGAATACAAGATTAAAACGACAAACCCCACTTCCCCAACGCGCTTAAAGCTCTTTGGCTTCAGCGTCCACGAAGACAACATGGAAGACGAAGTGATGCATGAAGACGTAGCAGACTCAACCACCAAGGCCACTTCCACTTCCACTTCCACTTCCCCATCTCGCTCGCCAGACTCCGCCGGTGCCGGACCTCCTTCCTCCGGTGACCGGAAATACGAGTGCCAGTACTGTTGCAGAGAGTTCGCAAATTCACAAGCACTTGGTGGGCACCAGAACGCGCACAAGAAAGAGCGTCAACAACTCAAGCGTGCGCAGTTACAAGCCACGCGAAACGCCGCCGTTTCGTTCGTGCGAAACCCAATCATCTCCGCCTTCGCCCCTCCGCCGCACCTGCTGGCTCCGCCGGGGACCGTGGTGGTCCCGGCGGCTCCGCCCTCGTGGGTGTACGTGCCGCCACGTGCCGCGCCTCCTCCCTTCCACGTGTCAGTTTCACACGGTTGTGCGTTCCCGTCGGCGAATAACAGTGCTTTGAGTTGTAATAATAATGGTAACGTCACCATAACGGGTGTGAAATCAGCGGGTGCAGGGATGTTTCCCTACGTTGGCGTTGTAGGAGATTCGTCATCCCCTTTGTCAACGTTGCAGGTACAGGCCAGGGCCCACCACGCTAGGATTGATGGGCCCTCTTTGAGTAGGTTCTCCAAAGCAGACAGTGGGCCCAGTTTGGATGATGCATGGGGCTTGGACTTGCACCTTAGCCTTGCCCCAGCTGCGCCGTGATCTCTCGGCTCGGCTCGGCTTTAAACGTGAGTGAGTGTGACTGTCTCTTTTTTCAGGCTTGATGCGCCACTTAAGGCCATATATTGGCTGCTTCAGCTTCAAATCTTGTACATTTTCATATTTATTTGCTATTTTTTTTCAAGAGAATTATTTCACTTGGCACACATTTGAACAACTGCTCATATAAACCACATGCGCTAATTAATTTGATTTTTACTTTTCTTCACTATCATTCAAAATTTGTGCATTTGTAATTTCAAACCTTTTTTTTTATTTTTTTATATAGCTGAAAGGATATAATTAGACTAATTATTAAGAAACTTATTTAATGAACGAAACTAGTTGTGCGTAATATTCAGCAGGAGATTGTTGCATTGATTTTTACTGAGCACATTGTGGTCCATTTCACGATATATAATGAAGGGATGCTATTATATCTTTCAATGCCAAGAAAACACACAATTGGCTTTTTAACTTGTCTACTGGGAAATAAAAACTTGCATTACCTTTAGTGGGCAGACATCTAAAAAGAATTCATCCATTGTATATGTTTAGATGCTTATGTCTGGATCGTGACTATACATTTAGGAGCGGAAGAGTGATCGACTCTAACTAAGATGTTTTTCATCGCACGTTGAAGACTTGAAGAGCTTGGCTTATTTACTAGGATATTAATATTTTAACCACATATTTTCCTGTGATAAACATAAGAGATAAAAATGCTTAGACAGGGAGACACAGCTCACAATATCCAAACAAACTTTGTTTAGACAGGTTGGACACAGAAAGTACAATCAATGTGAAAAGATAATGGCGTTTGACAAATTTTAATTTCTGCCGGAGTTTTATAAAATGTGGTTAATAGTACAAAATTTGTATTCACATAATCATTCTTTTTAAGTAGTGCACTTCTCAGTTGAGGAGAAATTTGAAAACAAGATAAAGCATTCCAACATATGGTAATTGGTCAATGCTATTAATTATATATTAGAATTTATCTTATTACAAATCAGATGCATGCATATCTAACTTAGCCACGAATATAGATTTTATGTGAGTCCTCTCTATCTAGCTAATTAAGTTAGATACATTTCTACACATATTATGCAGATGGTGTATAATGGACCTTTTCTCCTTCCTTAATTCATTGCATATGTCCTTCGATCAACAGTTAAAAGAGGCGCTTGTAAGAATAACAATATTGTCAGAATCACGTGGTCACACGACATACATACAAAGCCCTATATGTCTATTATTGATCAATGACACGATTCAAGGAATACTTCTTAAAAAACAAAAATACAGTAAAACAATTATGAAATTTTACTCAAGTGTAAATGGGAATTTTCTGGGTAAAATTTCTGTACAATACATGCTGGGATTAGAGGATGTTAACTCATCTGTTTCTTTCCGTCAGTGTGTTATAATACCATTTGATGCCTTATTAAACACGAATACCTTATAGTTGATTGGAGACATCAATGGAAAAGCCAATAATTGTGTCCCTTGTCACCTAAATGGTTAATACACTTCAATAAAAAAAGAGAATCTTCGACGACGATTGATATATTAAGTCCATTGTTCCCTCAATGATGTATGGGATCTCTATGCCTCTCAAAGAACGTGAAATATTATTGCAATATTTCTAGACGCTAAAGCTCCAATTAACCCTTCGATGGTTTGTTGGTACCTTATTTTCTTCTTGACTAAAAGAGTTGATAGAATGTGGGACCAATAACAGTAGACTAATATTTGTGAAAGTGCAATTAGGAAATGCTACAGTTTAATTGGATGAGCTGACTAAAAAACAAGTGCTTGATTCAAACACCCAATTTTTATTTTTATTTTTTGTCTTCCATAATTCACTGAATAAGCTTGGTATCTACGATTTGTAGGTTTCTGTCCAAATTCAAGGAAGCTGATTGAGAGTTTTTTTCTTTAAAGAAAATAATAGACAAGAATAAATCGCTTCTCACTCTGAAGAGACTTGTGTGGGTAAGAGTTAGACAAACATTTTACAAATATTTAAAAGTATAAAGTTTTACAAAAGAGAATATTTATTATTTTGAAAACGTAAAAATATAATAAATAATTTCTTGTGTGTGCAGACATTTGGGTGTGTAGCCCCATAAATTGATCTTATTAGTTAACATCAGTATCTTTTTCACTGTTTACGGAAAGAGAATAGGTGTAAACATGTAACACTTGTTAATAAGTAATTCGAGGTCCCAATTTTAATTCAAGAACACTTTCCTAACAAGTGAAACGAATAAACTTTGGGGAAGAGGGTGATGAGCTAGCTAGAAACGGTCATGTTGACAGGTGGTATATTCCCAAAATTCTTGATCTTTTTATCCGTCTCGTGACTTTAAGTGAAGTTCAGAAATTGAATATATATATATATATAAAATGGAATTAGGATAACGCAAGGTCGGTGCTTTCGCCACCAGTTGTATCGAGATCTTTGATACGAACGTGTCAAAAAAGAAGATTTGGCCACTTTAATTAAAAGTTAAGGTTGATGATATTATCTGCACCTAGCTTAACCATAATCTTGATTTTAATTTATCGTAGTTGGAAACAGGTGGAATCGGTTTGCGAAAGGGATAAAGGAGAGGATATGAATATTTGGGACTTTATTACTTTCAATACTCTCCTTTACAACTCCATCATTTAGCAAGAAATAGAAAGACATGAAATTAACGAACTCAATTGACCTTTCCTTTTATTTTTTATTGGATAGTATACAGTGAATAGTGAGGATATTTCAAATCTTTTTTTTTTTATTGAGATTAATTGAAGTCTATTTCACTACGAGGTTGCATGCTTTCAGTTTTATCTATTTTTGTTTTGCTTGATTGAAGCTTCATCTTAGTTCTGATTTAATTTGTGGAAGAGCAAAAAGGATGGTTCATTTTAGAACCATGATGATATATTTGAAAACTTGAGTAGTTAGAAAAAGCTTGTTCCTTCTTTAGATCGCCTTTTGACATATTAGTAGAATTCCTTGTGGTTGGTGAGTAAAGAAACTTAAAAAAATCTATAGTTTATTCCCACACCTTTTATCCTTAATGAAATAATACAATGTTTAGCTGTGAAATGTGAATCTGATCAATTCTATTATTAAGATTTTAAATTAAGGTTCAAAAACTGTTATTGCAGTCAGAACATCAAAATTTTCACATTTTAGAATTTGCATTGCGAACACAACTGTGATCACATAAGCTACATTTTAATATTATTTTTTTTTTGCATTGCCTACTATATTGTACTCCTTATATAGAAGTCCATCTAACATGGTTTACACACGCGACTCATCAACTAGTCAAGCTTTCTTGTTAATTTTAACCCGTAAAATGAAAAGGGAGGATATGGAAAGGCCAAAGTAATTATAAGTTGAACCATCTTTTCGTTTCTTATTAGTCACCTTAATCTCATAAGAGACATGATTAAGTTTAGGCATGTTTAACAATAAAATTAGCCCTTCCAAGCATGCCGAAACCGTGGAATTTCGTTCTTAATTAAGGAGGAAGTCATTTCTCCTCATTGTAATTGGCTTGAGCTTGGTAGAGAAGTTGAGAGATAATAGCTCAGCCATCACTTTTCAGTGCAATAGACATCATAACCAATCTAAACGAAAACATGAACTGTGTGTTATAGCAGATAGCGACTTTTACAAACTACCCTTTGAAAGTTTGTCTTTACGTACTATAACTTTGCACTATTGGTCAACAAGGATTTCACAAACTAAGATATAAAGGGATATTGTAAGAGTTGGAAGCTGACTAATACATGATTTGTTTTTGGCCTTTCTCTTTCATCTCCTCCCCCACAAACTTGGATCTTGATTGGCTTTCCTATGTTAACGCAATGTGACTATTTGTTTCGAGGCAGTTAGATGATTAACATTTTAATATACAGCTTGATTAAACCACATGGAGAATTATGATAAATTATAATAATTTATATAGCGTTATATATGCGCTAGAAATTATAGAATACGCAAGTTGTTTACCAACCGCAAGTCCGCAAGAGTAATAATGCGTGGAAGTATTGCTTTTTGAAGCATCATATAATCATTTTTGTTGGACCCTTTTCTTCCATTTGGCATATGCATGGTAGGGAAAAGTACGTTAATCATGGCCGATAAAATCTGTGACATCTCAACTATATCACAAGAATCATGAACACAAATTGTACTAATAAAAAATGGGCAACACTTCTTTTTGGTAAATTCTATGAAACTCATATGTCCTACTTCTTTTGAAGTTATCTCTAAAACCTTCACTTTGTGAAATTTATATTTATAACGTATAAGATTTTATCATAAAGTTGCTTCAGCAAGCGCAACAGTAAAGTTTATTTTAAGTCGAATAATGTCTTTCCATCTTACAATCTGGCTGTCTTTGTCGTTAAAATATTTTCTTCTCCCCTTTGCATATTATTACCAAAACGTGAGCTATGGTATAAAGATTAATCAGGAAATTGTTGCATCATGGTAACATAATTGTTTGGGACAGAGATTTTAAATAAACCAAAGAATCATTGTCTAATAAGACAAAATGCTTCAAATCAAAACATATTAAAAGCTATCACACAAAATAGTCAAGGAAACAAGCTATGTTCATGACACGGGATGATAGGACTTCTTAGGTGTGAGAATTCCAATTCATTTAGCAGTTTAGTAGGTTTTGGATAGAAAATACTCTAACTAGTTTCGAGCTTTTAAATGAAAGATGTCATGATTATCTAAGAATGGAGAATCAAATCTTATGATATCTAAAAAAGACACTTTTAACTAATTTAAAAATAGTTGAACAAAAAATATCTTTAAGAAAAAATTTCAACCAAATTATGATTTTTTTTACTCCTTAAACGAATTGTATAAAAATAGTAAGATTCTCCCTATTTCAAAAATGATATTGTTCTTGTTTCACAAAAAACAACGAAAGAGACTTTTAAATAATGAACCAACATGTCACAAAAAAGTGACTTGTATC